CATATTCCCCGCGCTTCCCGCGAAAGCACACGGGCGTGTACCAAAGGCTGGCCAGCGACGGCGCGCCACAGGAAGCCGAGCGTTCCTACATTCTTGTTCATGATAACCGCGGCGGGTACATGGTCGACGTTCGCAAGCGAGGGGATATGCGAAGTTATCTGCGGGGGGGATCGTCTGAGGTTTGCGGTGTAGGAAACGCGGGCGGTTGGCTGGAAATACAGGCAAGATTCACGTCATTACCCATGCACATGCAAAAAGTAGGTAGGAGTGACAAACGCCAGCACGGTCCACCACCACCTTTCGCCTCTCCAAATTTCTTGAGAAGCCCCACATTGTCGCGAATCGATAGCCAATTCGACCCTCCTCCTCGCCTCACCTTTTGCTCACGCCTATAGCGAAAAGAGGAGGAAAATAGCTCTACAGAGATCCAGACGACCTCTATCCGTCCGAAGTCTCCCCGCGCACACACGTACACACACGCACACCGCTCAGGCTCGACTCCCAACGCCCGCGCATCATTACGACAACCGCATACTGCAGCCAAAATGCCCGCACCTACAGCCCTCCAGCGCAGGCCCGAAGAGTTCGCCGACGATGTCACCATGGAAGCCTCCTCCGTTCCTCTCCCGACCGAGAGCGAGGGCGACCTCATCTCTATGAGCCTTGACCCGGTCGAGGCTGCGCACGACGCCCCAGCACCCACAGAAGACATGCCCATGACAGACGAGAGCGGAAAGCCCAAATTCCCTGCGGCCAAGTCGATACCGCTCGCTTTCCGCCGCGAGCAGCGCAAGGTCCCGATCCCACCCCACAGGATGACACCACTCAAGAACTCGTGGCCCAAGATCTACCCTCCGCTTGTTGAGCACCTCAAACTGCAAGTCAGGATGAACACAAAGGCAAAGGCTGTTGAGTTGCGCACTTCCAGTGCTACCACCGACACCGGCGCGCTCCAGAAGGGAGAGGACTTTGTCAAGGCATTCACTCTGGGCTTTGACACGGACGATGCCATTGCGGTAAGTGGATATCAAACCAACACATGCGTCGCGCAAATGTTCAGTTTGGGCTTCGCATAGCCAAATTCCAGCATCGGAGAAGCCAGAACTGACGAGTGTATAGCTGCTTCGATTGGATGACCTCTACATCGAGACCTTTGAGATCAAGGACGTCAAGACCCTACAGGGCGAGCATCTCGGTCGTGCGATTGGTCGAATTGCAGGCAAGGACGGCAAGACCAAGTTCGCAATTGAGAACGCCAGCAGAACACGAGGTATGTTCATCGCATCATGTTAACAACCTACCTGTTCACATCACTGACATTTCCCAGTCGTCCTGGCGGACCAGAAGATCCACATCCTCGGTGGTTTCAAGAACATCCACATCGCACGCGAAGCCATCGTCAGCTTGATCCTGGGCCAACAACCAAGCAAGGTGTACGGCAACCTACGAACAGTCGCTGGACGCATGAAGGAGAGGTTCTAGACGATACAACAAGCGAGGGGTCTTGCATAGTAAGCCGCGCAATGGCAACGGCGATATCGGGCATTTACATGGCGTTTGGAGACTGGGCAGGTCGGGAAAAAGCTGTTTATACCATCTGAGATGACTTGATGATTGGAAGGAAGATGGCTGGGACATGTCATAGCTATAGAGGCAATTACGATTGATTCACACCTATCCACATGTCCCTCCATGGATGATCCAGCACGGGTATGAATCGTGAATCCTGAACAAGTTGGAACTTTTCTTCTCGTCAATAAACACACACGCACCCTACTTTCCCTCGCTCACCCATCAATCCTCCCCACGAAAACCGCACAAGCCTCCCTCCCTTCCTCGCCCCAAACCCTCTGACAAGGAATCCACTGCACACCCTCCATCTTCATACCTACCCTCTCTTTGCCAAACCACTCGAACCCTCTTCCAACATACAACGTAGCGCTCGTCCACTCTTGCTTGCCCAGCAACTCCACGTCACCCTCATTCCTAATCTCCAGAGTGAAGAACCTCGATCGAGTATCCCGCGGCATTGTAGTGGTAAATTGGGGGACCTTGGGGTCACGCTCAAAGGAGTTGGAGGGGGCTGTCAGGCCTGTAGCACTCCACTCTATATCCACACCACGTGGTAGAGAGGAGACCTGGGCAATGAAACAGGGCGGTATCGGTACTGATGTCTTGTTAATATCCGCGTCTATGTTTTGGTCCTGAATTTGAAATTTGGAAGTAGAGATGGCAGAGCGATCGGGAATAGGAGAGCGATAAGTTGAATCCTTGAACGTTGAGGCGCCATGATGTTGGTTCAGGCGGTCCCAGGGGTCCATGTCTGCGTCTTCGTCCTCTTCATCATCGGAATTATTGAGAGAGGATGAGCGGGGTGGTGTGTGGATCGTTCGCCAGACTTCTTGGGCTACTTGTACGGACTCTTCTGGATATGGTGATGCTGGGATGAAACCTACAACTGCTGACCACCATTTGACTCGTTTTGTACGGCCGATACGCCAGAGATGTTGTAGGGAGAGGATTGCTTGACCTCTGAAGCCATTTTCCTTGTAGACGTCCATGGATGCGGGGACTAGGGGAATCTGACCAGCTACGTATACCACTTCTCCACTACTTTGGGTATCGCTTTCGTTGAGCTCGTTGTGAGGGGGTAGATGTACGGAGATAGCTTGGCTGTACGGTCCGATGTTTGCTGGTGCCCAGTAGCTTCGCCCTTGTACGTGTAGCCCTTGTCTCCTTACTGGTCTGAATACATTTCCATCTTGATCTGTTTCGTCCTTGTCCGCAATTACACTCAGCATGGCATGTACGCCTTTGGGCATTGTATCTCCAACTGCTATTGTGGCTCTAGCTGGTGGGTTCACGTGGCTAAAGTATTGCGCGTAGATGGGATTGAGAACTGTAAAGTCTGCCATATCGCGGAGAAGTAGCGTACAATGATTGACGCTGTTCTTGGGAATACGTGATTGCTTCAAGATATGATCGAGACGGAGGAAGATCTTGGAAAGTTGGCGAGAGGGGGAATCGGGTGAAGCAGCGGTGGGAGCATCGCTCGTTAGATTGGAGTATGTGAAGACCGTCGAAGTATCACTGAATACATTCCTGGGAAGCCAATCTACTACTGATGTGCTATCCAGTCGAGAGACAGCCCCAGAAGACTTGACAGCAGATCCCGTGTCAACGGGTATGCCTTGACTACTCTCGTTGCTGGCATCCGTGGCTTCTATCAAGCTCGCGAACTCCTCGTCCCAGAGCTCTGGTATTCTTAGTGGATCAATAGGTTCGGCGTCGTCTGCGCTCTTCTCCTCAAGTGTGCTGCTCTTGATCTTTAGCACTGCTTGGCCACCGTCCAGCTTCCCGGGTGGTCCATTGTCGATCCTGATCCTCTTCTTCCAGAGCGATCTTGGCCCGTCCAAAGCCAATGTCTCAAACTCACCCCCTTCACCTAGTATCGCGCCGTCGCCAGCATCACCATAGCGTCCCATTGCGTTGGCTACTCTAGCTATAGTCTTGTAATTAGCGACATCGAGACCCAAAAAGTCCTCATCTAGACCACCTGACGCTGTCTTGATGATAATTGCTTTTTGCCCGATAGCCGTCATATCGTGCAGAAGTGACGACTGTGTGTACGGTGGCAACAGAGGATACTGCCATAGATACGACAGTGGCGTAAGTCCCAGCCTGAGCGCTACAGACTCCACACGCGTGCGTTGATATGTGCTCAGGATAGCCCCTGTAGATACAGCGTTGGCCTCAGGGTGTGCTTCCAGAACCCTTCTCAACAGCGGTACCAAGTCTTCAGTTTCATCCTGCTCTTGCTTTTGCAAAGGTGTCGCATAGTCTCTATTCGAGTCTACGGCGGTACCCGTAATCTCTTGTCGATAGAGAGGGATCCCTAGCGCTTCTTCGTAGAGGGGAATGACCGAGTGCCCCACGGTCTGGTACATGTAGCTGTTAATGTCTTCATCATCATTGCTAGAAGGCGCTGGGTGCAAATTGGCCAGTGCTACGACGGTGTGCCCGTTGGCTTGACAGTGGAGAATGGAGAAGAGCGAGTCTTTGCCCCCGGAGATTAAAGCAATCACGTTCAATGACGCCGACATGGTAAAACGAATGATTCGAAACGGGCGACCGTCTGGGAAAAACAATGAAGGAGTTGAGGACGGCCCGGTGCCGCTCGTTGCATGAGACAGACGCAGGTGGATTGAGTCTCGCTAAAGGTCTGCGCACGCTAGGTTGATCCGTGGGGTTTTGGAACGAGCGCGATTGTGTTTTCTGGCATCAGGGTCCTGTCCTGCAACTCATCGCAGATCATCGAAAAGCAACCATGCGCACAACGCGCGGCTCGCATGGATGGCACAGTAGTCACATGCAGGTAAGGACATCGGAAGTATATGTAATAACGTGTTTTTTGTATGATAGTCGGACAGTGCCAGCACCTCTAACCTACAATAGGCTGCGCAGAAAAGCATTGCTGAGCAGATTGTAAAAGTCTGACGATTACATGTGTTGTGAGAAAGAAGCGAATATTCTCAGAATGTTGGAGGGCGTTCAGATGAAGCTGCCCAATTACAACGAGGGTAGGGAGCGCAAGATAAACAAGGGGGTAACGCGGCGACAGTGGCCGGTGTAGGGTAATGGCCATGTCGTCGTAAGAGTGAAACCAAGAAAAAACACCAAATCTATCCGTCCGCCAGTAGTAGCCAGTCTCCCCAAATCCCAGGTGTGCCGTGCTAAACGCGAAACCAAAAATGCCAATCTCGAATGTTTAAACTGCAAGATTGGCTGAGTAGAATACAGTGGTAGAAGGGAAGCGTAGAGTTATCGCTGCAGATTATGCAAGATCGAACCGCTGATGTGAACCTGTGCCGCCTGTCTAGCCGAGTCGTGAGGGTGGACGAGCAGCCATGTGGCATGATGTATAATCCTTCTACCGGGTGTTGTGGATGTCATGAAGGGTCGTTAAGAGTTGAAAGGAGAAGTGTGGTAGATGAGAAGATTTACTCGTTCCTCTTGCGCTTCTTCTGGCTGGGCGACGACTCGTTCTCGGATCCATCAGAGCTTGAGGTAGGGATCTCCGAGGCAGCGTTGTAGAGGATCTCACCCATGGTGGAAGGGGCCTGTGCGCCAAACGCACCGGGTTGACCATGCTGCATGTCCGAGTGATGGAAGTCAGAGCCCATGACCTCAAGGCTCACGGCACCACTACCGTGGGTGCGCTGGTGCTGAGAGAGGTTGTCGCTCCTGGAGAACTTCTTGCCGCAGTCAGTGCACTCAAAGGGCTTGTCGTGAGTGTGGAGAGAGCGGTAGTGGCGCTTAAGGTGTTCTTGACGACGGAAGCGACGCGAGCAGAGAGTGCAGACGAAGGTCTTGGAAGGGTCGTCGGTAAGCGACTGCTTGCGACCGCGGCGGCTGGTAGGGGCGACAGGGGTGGCGTGTTCGTCTGAGCTGGAGCCGACAGCGTTCTCGGCTTGACCTGATTCTTGTTGGCTTGATGCTCCAGACATGGTGTTATCATCACCTGATGTCTGTTGCTTACCCTGGTAGTCTGACTCAGTCTCGCTGAACTCTGAACGAGCCTTCTTGACTGTTCGCCTCTTGGAAGCGGCGGACATGTCGAAGTCGCTAGTAGCAGGGGTCATGGGCAGGCCGTGAACAAGCTCCTCCTCAAAGTCTGTGAAGCTCTCGTCGCTCAGGAAGTCCTCCTCAGGAGAGAAAGCACCAAGGTCAGTGCGTTGGCGCTTGTTACCGAGAAAGTGGGTGTTGTCAGTAGAGAAGTTGACAAGGCCGGTGAAGTCGTCTTCGCAGTCAAGCTCGAACAAGGGCTCAAAGGTGGGGAGACCAGTGATGTTGAAGGACTGGGTAGACTCGAAGCTGTCGACCTGGGCAGTCTCACCCTTGAGGACAACCTTGTGCTCCTCGTCGCCAGGGCAGAGTGTGACAATGGGAAGCTCAGAAGTAGAGACGGTGAGATCGCGGGGGTTGCAGAAGTTGTTCTCGGCCTCAGCGAATGCAGCGCGGGGCACTGGTGATGGTGATGGGGAGAGCGAGGGGCATGAAGTTGCAGATAGAAGGTAGGAGCCTTGGCTAGCCGACGGAGGCTGGATGTAAACTTGAAGGAGTTAGTCACACCGTCCGAACATTCAGCAACATCGACTGCGAAGGACATGAGCAGATTGATTAATCAAAAAATACATACCTGGAGTCATGGGTGGGGAAGCTGAACGCCATTCGAGACCGGCAGAAAGAAGCTCAGAGAAGACCTCGCCTTCGCAGCCTTGCTTGACACCCTCGATGCCCTCACCCGAGAACATGTCATGCATCGGTGTAGGAAGAACATCGCATGAGGAAGGAGGGCTGCTGGTGTTGCTACCGCACGATGAAAGGGGAGGTGTGGCGGGCGAGAATGAGTAGTCGGTGTCAATGGGGTGAAGGTATGGCGAGTCTTGAGGTTGGATCAAGATCGTTGGCTTCTGGTACATTGGCTGAGGTGATGCAACGGGAGTGAGCATCTGGTTGGCGTAGGCAGTCTGAGGGTAGGACATCTGAGAGCATGCCGACGTTGGCCTCTGGTAGTACATGTTCTGTGCTTGGAAGGTAGCCTGTCCGGATGGGTGGGGTGTGAAGTGGCCGTGTTGGCGTGTGTTCTCGCCCTGAGGGTCCGGGTTGTAGTAGAAGAATGGTGATTGCATAGCCTGGGCTGGGTGGATGGGATATGAGCCGTCCATTGCGTGTGTTGGTGTGTGTCTTTACTTCAGTATAGCAGTTGTCGTCGTTGTTAACGTTGTTGTTGGTTGGTTAGGTCGATGATAGTATGATATCGAGTGATGTCGAGGACAAATTAATTGTACTTGAAGCAGGATGCTGGACAGTATAAGAGAGAGTCGAAGGAATGACTGTGGGCCAGTTCGTAATAACGAAACTGTCACTAAGATAGATAATGAAGATCAAAGAGTGTGAGGGCACAAAATTATGAGACCCAAGATGAAAACCTGAACGGCGACGGCGGAAAGAAACGAGAGGGACGTGGTTGATGAACCTTGATCAAGGGCAGGCCAGTGAAAAAGAGAACTGATGAGCGCACAGAGAAGGACGGCTCGCTCTAGTGCGCCGGGGCGCAGCGCAGCTCCACAAGCCAGCTAGGTATGGGATCCTGCATTAGACCCTAGCCTTGACTCGCGTCAAAAGCAGCGAATGCATTAATGCATGGGTTTTTGGGCCTAAAATTATTCGCCCAATGCATAGCTGCATGGGACTATACGCGAAATGAGATGTGCGCGGCGGTTCCGGCAGGCTTCCAGGTATTGGCTACGTCGCCAGCACAGCACATGGTGGGATGGAGAGCCTGCCACACTGCCTACGTAGTGGGTTTCTACCGCCCTCTCCGAATGGAGGAGAGACAATAGCTGAAGGCAACTGAGCCTCGCCACGGTATGGTTGTTGTTCTGAACAGCGAGTGATGGGTAGCCAACTGTGATACTGCCGATGAGTGGGCGAGCATCGGGTGTGTCCTGCGTCTCGTCTGACCTACCACACCTCAGGATGCCCTTTCAGACACCTCTCCAACTCGCCTCGAGATTAGCGCGTCCGGGCATCATTCAGCCTATCATCCTATCTGCCAATCGATAATGATAGCTGCGAGACCCTGCCGGTTGAACTATGTTTTGAAACACCCATACAGCGACCCTCCCGCTCTTCGTGATCGTGATGACGCTGCGCGCTCCACCGAATATGTCACGCACGACAACGCCGTACCGCCCGCGGTGCCACCCTCAAGCATCACAGAAGCAACACTACAGAGTCTGATGTGGTTGTTGATTGAGTGCTTTTGGACGCGCTGTAGCCGGGCGTTAATGTCGGCCTCACACCACAACAACTCGCGACGCCTTCCTGAGATGCAGAATTGTAGGAGCGGTATGTCTCACGATGTCTTCAACAACTCCACAAACCATGCAGGCCCCAGAGTTGGAGGAGTGCGTCGGAGTGCGTCGCGTAAGGTCGCCGGTAGCGAAAACAGCAAGACTACCATTGCCACACGCATCGCGCAACACTGGAGGAAGACTCGACTTGTCGGGCTTACGCAGGAACGTCAGCCATGATGCAAGAACGTGATCCACGTTGGGCGTGATTTGCCCGCCAGCTAGAAGCCCTTGGATCCGCGCACTCCCAGTGGTCCAAAAGACGGCTATTCTTAATGGTGCGACATACTCGTGTGCAGTGTGCTGCAAGTCGCCACCGATACCATTCTTTCTTCAAAGGGTCAGTAGAACTGGTACTGGGTTGGTGGGATGCATGGCCATACAGGTGCACATGCGGCCTTAATCCGTCTTGCAAGTGTGTTTCAGAAGTTGGGCTGCCACTTCGGCCGCCACTCGTGCAGCGACCGACTGTAGTGGTGTACCAGAGGATGCAAGCTCCTTCTAATCTACGTATCGATAATGGGTGCACTTGGATGGTTATGACGCGGATGAAGTGGGTGCCTCACCATTTACACTTCCACCACGGTAAGAGTTGTGCATATTGGTGCCTCGTATAAGATTCAGCACAAATAGAAACGAGCTATCGAATGCTGCGGGTGCAAAGTTATGAAGCCGCCGGCGAGGCCTAAGTGGCTTACTCGTAAAAGCGGCGTGTCTTTCGCGTGACAAGCGTTGGTCAACTCGAACAGGCCCGATGGCATCCGCCAGACCGTCATCCCCCACATTGACTGCAGAGCTTATTGATCAAGAATAGCGTCTACTGCAGGTACAATGCAGGAACAAACGGTAAGTAAGACCCAAAACAACATGCAGGCTTATCGTGACCCTAACAAAAGAATTTCGCGGGATTTTCGTGCTGCAATCGCCCTGCATTATCGTAATGCTCGCTGTTGCATGTGAAGACGACGCAATTTCTAGAAGGCCACATCAGCGGGGCTCCCTTACGACTCAACAGGGTCTTGATGCGATTCAAGTTGAAGAAGGGCTCTTCCGTGGTATGGGCCGTGTCAGTTAGCGTGTGCGGCGTGGTCATGCCATAGCTTCGGCGCCGGGGAACGACGCATGGCTTCCATAGCATTGTCCCACTTGACTCTCTCTCCACTCCGTCAGCCCTGTCATTGGCCGAGACCCACGAAGCCCTGATCTTCGACCTTTCGAGGAAGTTTTCCAGCCTGGCGGGGTTGGGGCTTCCATCCCGCTCGCCCATGGTTTGACTATCGCGATGGTGTACTTTGACTCGCTAGCACGTCTATCGGAAGTACAGCCATGTGTGCCGGCTTGACCAACGACGAACGCTAGTACACCGTGCCACTCAGGTTCCTGCGTTTGTTCCGTCATGCCGCGGGTCAATGTTGCTTTTACGCGTTAGAAACGAAGTGTGGCTTCCGAGGCCCTAGATGGCCTGACTACACCGCGCAAGTATTTGCAAGGTGTTTCTGTTGGTATGATGCGCACGAGGAGCCTCCCTGAAGATTTGACAAATCTGACGTATCGTCACCAAGGCACTGATACCGGGAAGGCCATCTTCTGGAACTGTGAAACCTCGTCAAGAGGCTGCCATTGCCGAAGAGGCAATGACAACGGCTATGTCACCCCAATAAGGCAGCTGGCAGATCGCTGAGCCCATCGCGTCGGGGTCTCAAGCACGGTCAGACAGTCTTCTAACGAAATGCGCGTTATGCTCAAGCAGGGTCAAGCTCGTCTGTAATCTCCCGAGAGCCCGCACAACTGGTCCCTGACCATGTGGCTTCTGGAATACTTCCCCACACTGATTCTCGGTGCTTGCTGCTGAATGCATGTGGATATGCTATGCGGTGTGAAGGTCCAGCCAGGGCGACCCTTCCTGCAAGACACCGCCTTGACATTGTTGAGGCCAGTGTCTCTTGCGAAAGACATCGGTTGCAGATTTGTCTCGTCTAGTCGAGACGGCAAGTGGGAACTCACGATATTCCGCGCTCTGGAGCCGTCATGGCTGTTGCCGAAGCTGCTGGCCTGAGAGCAGGCGGTCGAGGGTGCATCGCAGCGGGCTGGATCTCAACATGAGCCTGGTACACGTGGGATTCTATCGACAATGTCGGCATACGATAAGGCCGCGGTGAAACACACGTGAATGTGGTTAGCATCAAGCCCCGGGAGGATAAGACCCGCGTTATTCAATGCTCTTAAGTTTCGACAGCTTCCATCCATCGCAAATCACTCGGCACGTCGCGCCTTGGCCGGTTATCGAAATCTCTGCAGACCCTCCATTGGTCACGACACGAGGTATCGACAGGCGATATCTGACCAACTCGGCGAACCCAAGACCACAAGTGCTCATGCCACCAGGGTCTTGCAACGCTGCGGGACAAACCGACCTTGGACGGCTAGTGACTGTGCTCCCCAACGTGTGGAAAGTCGCCGATTGAGCGCAGATCTTGGGCATACGAGCGCGTTGGTACGAAGATCGCAATTCAAAGTGACGCGCGTGAAGATGGAAATGCTTATTGTTCTCATCGACCACAAGATGGGGCGTGGTAGAGCAAGTAATTGTCATGAATGACTGAAACTGACGTAGCCTATTGACGTAAAGTTTGTCCCAGACCGGCAAATTGAGAGTCGTGATAACTTTGAGGATGCTGCCAGCCGAAGTGGCGTAGCGGCTGCAAGCAACCTGGTATTCACCGATTTTGTTCACTACTACTCGACGTCGTTATCAGCCGCGCCATACGGGCCGAATGACTCTGCTCACATGTACAGCCAAAAAGTGAGCGAAGCCGCCGTAGAGGAAAGGAAGTCCGAGTCGAGAACGCGACATCGAGAGCATGAAGCACGCACGTCGCAGTCCAGCGTCCGACCGAACATGTCCTGCTACGCTCAGACGCCGAAAGTACCTCCATGGCCGTTCCACGCATATGCCGAGGCGCCGGCTACCGCATGAATTCAAGTGCAAAGACACTTTGTTTCCTGGCATCCTCAGGCAAAAAGCCATCTTCTGGAAACACACAAATTTCCAAACCGCATAGACAGAGATGACAAGAATAGGACGTTCCCTGCATCCTCGTGGCCGCACCCCATCCATCTCATACAACATGCTCGCTGAAACGCGCGAAATCTCAACGGCGAATGATCTGAGGCAGCGACAGCGGATGTCCACAAGTCGCCATACGTCCCTGGCACTGTGCCCGTCTCACAGGCCTGCGCGTGCTTTTCAAATCTGCGAAACACACAGGTGTCATCCAACGGTCGCGTCCAGCTTCCGCGACAAAGCCGCGACGCCGCAACAACCGCGCAGTAGTTCCGAACAGGAACATGTAACAGGCCTCAGAAGGTGGTGATGTTTGTAATCAGTCGCAGCCTAGGCCACGTATTACTCTTCCTATCAAATGTAAAATATCATCGCTGGCCATGAGGAAAAGAAGTCGCTCGACGGCGACGCGAAAAGGTTTTTTGAGGTTCTCTGATCCGCCGAAGCTTAGCCGACATCACGTGCGCGTCGGAGAAACGACAGCGCCGGCGCGCTAGTGAGGCAGCCATAAAAACTTCGCACCTCTGCGTACTGCTTCTGTTCTCTATGCGGCGCAGGACGATAGTCCGTTTCCCCGGTTGCTTGAGGGTCATACACCATGGCCCTTCCAGTGTCGTCGACCTGCCAGAGAGAACATATTGCACAATCTATCATATACACTTTGAGTGGGCGCCTGTTTCTAGTGGCGCCTTCTCTGGAAAAAGGTAGAACATCTTTTCGTGACGCGCAGCATCTGCTGCAGCAGTACGCTCTATCGACCTTGGGTCTTCCGAGCGACTGTTCGAAATGCACATGTACTGTTTGCGCATTTGGTGATCAATATCTATGTTGCCTTGAGCACACATATTTCACCTTCCCAAGCTGGGTTAGCGCTATACCTACAGCAGTGAATATCTCGGTGTCAAAGTTCCCACAAGTGAGCGGTGCCGTTTGTTGCACTGCGACATATATGCCAAGTTGTTGGAGTTATGTCTGCAGATGTTCCGCAGTTTGGTGAGCCAAAATTGAGGATATATCATTTTGACGACGGTGTGGCACCTGTGGTAGGACACGCGACACCCGCTTTGATCTAAGCAGTCATTCTTGGTCTCATTAGTATTGCTATCAGGTGCTGCTATCGTTACGCCTCGATGCGTGTGAGTAATGACTACAAAATGCCAAAATTTCCTTGGTGATGAAATATCTGTGTGTATTTAGATATGCAAGCAACAAGAAAATTGAAGCTTGTGAACAACCAAAGACCACCAAAGTGTTCCGACTTACTCAAATACCATATGAGTGAACGAAGGAAGCGGACTCGAGGGTTAGATTTTCTCCGTTTTAGATCATTGAGAGACTATACTTTATCCGTCAATTAAAGCTTTACTTCACTTACATTATCTTCCCTCTCCCGGAAACTCTCCAATTATGCCAGCGTTCCACACAACAAAAAAAGCCTTCTCAAGTAGACGTCTTCGTGCAACAGCGAAAGAACAAGAGCCTGGAGAGAAGTCGAGTTGGTCAATATGTTGTTGACCGTCGCATCTACTACGAATTTGTTTTGACAAGCATAGCTAATTTCCTTTACAATATCATCGCGCACGCGACGCACAAGATATCCCAGTCGTTATCGCAGTAATATGATCTGATGAATTTAAGACGCGAACGAACATGCAGCAGAACAGAAATTTTTTTGTCAGTTTAAGCTCATTGTCCAAAGGAAAAAAAACTTGACATAAGCTTCGATCTCGGTCATCCATTAAAAACAAACCCCGACGTAAGGCTTTGACACAACTACAGGCACACATCTATATCGTACAAGGAACATAAATCTCTCCAATGTCTTTCATCTAGCCAGCTTCTGTCTGTGTCTGCGTCTGAGTAGCAGGCTGTTGCGTACCCAGCAGCCTTTGCAGATCACCCAGTCCAGCACCAGCCCTCTTCTTCCTCTGCTTTCCACCCTCCTTCTCTGCAAATGCCAAACCCATCAACTTTCTCTTCTCTTCTTGAATACCCAATACACGCTCCTCCACACTTCCCTCAACCACTAATCGGAATACTGTCGTCTCGCGCTTCTGCCCCAGCCGATGCACGCGATCTACAGCTTGATCTTCGATGGCAGGCGCCCACCATGAATCTGCCATGATGACTTGGTTTGCGGCGACGAGATTAAGACCGACGCTGCATACGGCGAGCGAGGCGAGCATGATGGTTGTGGCTGGGTCGGAGTCTAGGGCTTCGAGGGCGACGTCACGTTGTGTTGCGGACATGGAGCCATCTATGCGGACGTACTTTAGACCATAGAGTGTGAGGTGTGGTTCTAGGATATCGAGAAAAGAAGTCCATTGGCTGAAGATGATTGTCTTGTTTGTGGGGTCGTTGGCTGATGCCCGAAGTATGTCGAGGAGGGCCTCGACTTTTGTGCTAGTGTTCTTCTCTAGAGATTCCTTATCTGCAATCTGGTCTTGTGTCAAAGGCGCTGGAGCGGCGCCAGATTTTTCCTTTGCAGGCTTGACAGTTGTGGTTGCAAGGGACTCAAGCTCGGCACGGCACATGGGGCACTTGTGTTGGGTTTCGATAACGCGTTCTACACAGGGCGTACAGAAGATGTGGGCGCATTTGGTTATGACCGGCTCCTTGTAAACGTCCAAACAGATCGGACAGTCTTCTTGTGATTCAATGGAAAGTCGAAGCATCTTCTGGAGCGCCGCTTTGTTCTCTTCTGTCAAATCGACAACGCCTTCTGCTTCAAGCTGCTTCATGATGGAGTCGAGACGCTCTTCATCCACCAGTTGCCAGTGGTTGCAAACTTGTCGCATTCGAAGCAACACTTCCAGGAGATGGCGATAAGTATCTCCGGCGTTTTTCTTCCCGATGTTGTGCTTATAAATGTCCAGCGTACCCTTGGCCTGAGCCTCCAAGGCATCATACTTCTCCTGTTCGTGTGGATGCAGCTTGATCTTGTGTACGTACTCAGAGAGCTCAGGTAGCCGTAGGTCGATGAACGACATCTCCTTCTTGCGACGTAGACAGACACTCGACATCAGCTGCTGGAGTACCTTGTGGCCCTGGACATCGCCTTGCATGACAGGGCGCATAATGGCACTGTGGAAGATTTCGAAAGAGTCGAGGCCACCCGAAAGACGCAAGAAACGAACTTGAGAGTAGAGATCTTTGAGATTGTTGATAATCGGCGTGCCGGTAAGTGTCCACCGAGATTGCGCCATCAGATTTGTAATGGCGATAGTCTTCTTCGCTTTCGGGTTCCTTATGCCATGACCCTCGTCCAATATGACCCGTCGCCACTTGATAGAGAAAGGTCCGGAACGCCGTGGGAGAGTAGGCTTCGTTTGCGAGTACCAATCAGAAGAGACAGATTCGTATGTGCTAATTACGACATCGTAGTTCTCGATTGATTTGGGTGTGATGGGTTCCTTTCTCTGACCATGCCAGAACATGACACGAAGAGCGTGTTCAGGCTTGACATGCTTCTTCATCTGCGTACTCCAGTTGCTCATTACTGATACGGGGGCAAGGATCAGCGTGGCGCCTGAGGAATCCTTTGCACGAAGATTAAGTGCGCGGTCTGCCATGATAAGGGAGATGGTCTGGATAGTCTTGCCCAAGCCCATATCGTCGGCCAGTATACCCCCGGAAGCTAGTGCCGGATTCTGGATCGAGAAGCTTGTTGCGATATTTGTGAACGCATTTGGTATATGAGTGTGTCGTCGCCAAAGCTGGACTACGTCTTTGGTGCCTGAGGCTGGGAGCTTGGGGCTTTCTTTATCGAGCATCCACTGCAGACCTTGCAACTGGAAGGGGTGTAGCTCAGTAAGAAGAGTGTCGGGTTGGGGCGCTTGTGGCATTTTTGCCTGTTGGTAGTTAATGAGTGGGCACAGAGGTTGCATAAGCACATTACTTACTAGGTCTTCTTCTTTGATACCATACTCCTCAACCATCTCTTCGACATTCCTAGGGTTGAAGCGCACACTATCACCGAGGATATCCTCCATGCTAGGCCCTGGCCCGAGGCCGGAACCCTGCGAAGAACCAGCAGCATATTCGGCCATGCTGTTTTGTGTGGCTTGGTCGGCACCAATGTCCACAACGGTAGCACCCTTCTTTTTGGCTTGTTTGGCGGCTTGCTTAGCTATTCGCTCGCGTTCCTTCGCGGCCGCAGCCTCCTTACGCTTTCGATCTGAAGCATGTCCAATAGGGAGTTTGTCACTTCGCATTCGTGCCATAAGAGCCTGCTGCACATCTGGATCATTGGTTCCGTATAGTTTAAGCTCGACCGGGCAGTCGTAGAAGCCCTTCTCCCCTGTAAGTTGCGCCTCAATGAGCAGACTGCGTTCGTCCATGTATCTGGCTAACTTGGCCGCGAGACCTCGTGGAAGGTGCCCAATCTGTTCGCCCTGCACATTGCTTACTTTGATCGCATTGCTGTCGTAGTCGTTATGGGGTTCTCGCCTTAGTACCACCGTCTCACCGTTTGTTGCATATCCATTGTAGTATCGCACACCCACAATCTTCCCATGCATTGCTCCGTATAGTACGAATTCGTATTGTTGCTGATTGTAGGCTTGTGTAGCATCCGGGACTTCCTGGGAGGCGTCGTCTTCGTCTTCGTCTTCGTCTATAAAGATGGCTTCAGCTTGCGACGACCCAGATGTAGTGCGTTGCGCTTGGTTGAATGATGTACGCGCTTGTTTGCGTGCGCGGCGCGGACTTGAAGAATGGGCATGAGAGTGTGCGTATCCTTGCGATGATGACGGGTACTGCGACGAACGACCGAAGGATTGCGACGAGTACGAGGGCGCGTTGTCGTCATCCCCTGTAAGATCAATGGCCTCATAGGCCGTTCGTTTGGGAGGCATTGCGCGTTGGGTTGGTAGACGTGAACGAATGCGGGGAGGCTTTATGACGTCTGTCGCAAGATGGTGTTCGCGAAACTTCGCGACCGCTGAACCGCTGGGGAGGAGACGATAAGGATCAGGATAAGGGCCCTGGTTCACGCTAGGGCGCGAAAGCATGTGACAGGGATTATCAGGAACGCTCCGATTATGATGTCAAGAGGGGAAATGAGGAGATGCCAGTGACGATCCGCTATCCAAGGACGAGTCTAATATATATGACAGAGTCGAATGATTTGTCGCTGATGCCTGACACGTGAGCGTGCTTAGCAAACAAACTGACACATCGTTTTCTGGTACGGTAATACACATTTTGCTCGATCTTGCATCGTACATTCATGCTCCTAAAATTATACACCATTAAACAGCGCTTCGTTCTCCCACCAACCTTCATTGTACTCTTCTGATCTAGCTTGAGATTACGCACGCGATGGGAATGCACTTTCGCCCCATGGGTCGCAGTCGACACTGCCATCCCGCATCAGTCCATGTCTCATCAGAATTGAACAAACAGCGGCGGAAACAAGAAGAGGATGAACTGCACAATTGGCGGAATAGAGCCCAGAATGCCCCTGCACAGCTTGGCCATCCGCACGCTGCCCGTCTCCTTCTCCGCTTCGTAGTATCCGCAGACGATGCTTCCGATGAGCCAAAGTAGCAGCAAGGTCAGCATGATGGCGTACCAGGCGGCGTGCAGATGGTACGGATTGGTGCCCCAAGACTCCCAAAGGCTACGGAAGTTGTAGTAGATGATGCTCCGAACTGAGACGCCGTCGTATTGTAGTCTGTAGATCTTCTTCCATTTTATCCACTATACAAAGAATCGAGTCAGCCATGTTGCTGCGGATGAATGGACCAAACAATTTGTTGCACAGTCGAATAGCAAGCGAAGAAGAAGCCAGAGCGATGGGCCGAGAGGAGCCCGACATACTCTGCCCCTGGCCTTGTCCTCTGCCAGCGCAAGTTCGTACGCTTCCGCAGCCTCTGCCTCTTCCTTTTCGCGGGCTTCAGCGAGAAAGTCTTCGATGTCGAGGATGAGGTATTTGGCGATGACGTCACGCTGTTTCTTGATCAGAGCGTCTTTGGCCTTTATCTCATCGGAGGGGGGCATTGTGATGTTAATGAGCGTATAGCACCTTGCGTGTGCTATAGTGAAGGCTGCTGTGGAGTGGTGGGGTTGTAAGACAAGGAGGAAGCGCGGCAGATGACCCCATTTCTCTCTGGATCTCCTTTCGCTGGCCACTTATCTGCTATCTTTCAGTGGAAGAAAGTGCGGACACCGAATGCTGAAGTCATGCTTGGGGAAGGAAGGTACGTCTCGGGTCGCGTCTGATACAGAAGGTGCCATGTCGTCATGTCCAGGTGAGAGCTCTCGTTATCGAACCCAAACACTTGATTCGCCTCAAGTAGCATTACAGGTTGAAAGCATAACCTCAAGCCACAGTTAGATCCAGTTGTCTTGGTATTGTTTGTGGCATATCGGTCACTGCTGAGTCTTTCGGAAGGGGTACCCTTATTCCCAGCGAACATTGGTGACACGAAACGCCTTGGGCGTGTCGTCACACGACCAGAGGGCTGAGTAAATTGGCAGAGTTCAGGTGTGTTTAATGCCTGTGAAAATGTCTTGCTATTGTTCTGTCCAAGTTGATGAAAAGAGCGAGGTGGCCGTGGTTTTCTGCCAAGCAGCGGACATAAGCTCAAGTGCACCCCCACTATGGCCTTCAACTTCATTCGCGCCTGGCTCAAGGTCATCCTCCTGTCGCCATATCGTCTACTGCGCGCATTGCTAGCCACGACCGCAAATTCTGTTAACCCCAAGGCAAGAGGCATAAAGGGAAAGATGCCAAAATACTATCACGACGACGAGGCGTGGGCGGACATTGTGCCACTTCCACAGGATGACGGCGGCCTGCATCCACTCGCTGCCATCGCGTACTCGGAAGAATACAGCGAGGCCATGGGCTACCTGCGCGCTGTCATGGCGAAGAACGAGTTCAGCGAAAGAGTCCTTGGCCTTACTGAGCACATCATCAGCATGAACCCAGCACACTACACTGTCTGGTAAGTCCGACACTCGGTCGAGTCGCGGAGTTTCGGAGGAGACGCTGGTGTTCAGTCGCGCGAGGAGCTCTCCAACATCTGCACTACTAACACCCCGCAGGCTCTACCGCGCCAAAACCATCTCGGAGATCGGGCGATCACTGAAAGACGAAATCGCATGGCTCAACCCGACCGCACTCAAGCACCTCAAGAATTACCAGATCTGGCACCACCGCCATACCATCATCGACGAGCTCGGCTCATGCGAGGGCGAACCAGAATTCATAAACTCTATGCTGGAGCTTGACTCCAAGAACTACCATGTGTGGAGCTACAGGCAATGGTTGGTCAAGCGCTTCGATCTGTTTGACAAGCCTGAGGAGCTAGAGTGGACACACAGCATGATCGAGGAGGATGTGCGCAACAATTCTGCCTGGAATCATCGCTACTACCTAGTTGTTGGCGGCCGCGAGGGAAAGCCGAGTGCTGATCTTGTGGAACGGGAGATAGAGTATGTTTCTGTTGTCCCTATAAGCTGCTCGACTATACTAAGCCTACCAGGTACACCAAAGCAGCCATCCGGAAAGCTCCTCAGAACCAGAGCACATGGAACTACATCTTGGGCATCATTCGCGCAGCGGAACTTCCCAAGTCGACTCTCAAGGACTTTGCGGGTGAATTCGCTGATGTGCGGAAGCCAGACGATGTCCACTCGAGCCACGCCCTCGATCTCCTAGCGGACATATATGCGGAAGAAGAAGATAGCAAAGAGAATGCGGAGAAAGCCCTGGAGCTTTTGGCCACCAAGTACGACCCGATCCGCGCAAGCTACTGGAACTTCAGGAAAGGCCTCCTCGATCACCCGAAGGTTGCTGCTTAAATCCCAGTGTTAGCGTAAACTTGAAAAGCATCACAGAGATACCCAATTAGCGTTTTTAATACCGTTTGCGGATCCGCGTCATGTGTTCGGACGTCCGCATGCAAACTTCATTCTGGGGAAGCCCTGTCTGAAATGACGATAGCTATCGAAGCAAAGCTGGATCGTGAAGGGAGCATGGACGCGTCTTCCACTGAAATGCGAGAGTTTTCCTTTCCGTCGGGGATCCCTCGCGCCAATTCCGCGACCCCATCGTGTCATCCTAACATCAGCCTCCCAGCCAACCCCGTCTTCACTGTTTCGCCGAGTTGTTATCGGTTCCGAGCCTTCTGGACTGACCACCCGCATGGACAGCTGATGCGCGTCCTCTGATAGGCAAGATGGCGCCAAGTCCACCACTGTTTCGAGGCGGCAAACCCAGGCAGAAAATAGTCCCGCCGTTGATAACCGCTTCTGGAAATCCAAACCCTGGCCCAAGCTGCTGAGTACCGGTCTCATGCTTGTGTCATTTTGCAGTGGCAGCGTGGTCGCTTGTTCCTTATCGAGTATCTATAGGGTAATTTATGCACTTTATAGGGTAATCGATACAACATATCGTAGATTCGGTGTGCCACCATGCTTCCTTACCCCTCTGGCCCATCGACATGGACACTAGGGTTGCGGGTGCTTGCGGAGCGATAAGAAATCATCGTAAAGATAAAGGAAAGGCTCTGGTGCCCTCGAATTCAGATCAACAAAGAGTTTCTGAACGTCAAACACCGAGCTTCTTGTCTACCTATTCCTGAGTCTACGCTTGCTTCTAATACCTTTCTGTGATACCCCATTCTGTTTCCATACTTCGTCATGGCTGTTAAGGAGTGCTACGTCAATGAGGAGCCTCAGCAAAGCCCTTGGGTGCAAACTCCGTTGAGAGAGTCGTACGCATTATCAGAAGCAGCAGGATGGTACGGTCACACTTCCTCTTCACCCGTTACCCCTCCACCCCTCCATGGCATATCATGTCATCAACTTTGAAGAAAAGGGAATTCTAAATCGTAGAAGCAGAATCTTCCTCAAGCTGGAGAATCTCCAACCCTCTGGATCATTCAAGTCAAGGTAAGCATTCGCCGATTGCAGACATTACCTAACACAAGTGCTAACACCTGGACAGAGGCATTGGCAACTACATCCTCCGCCGTCTCGAAGAACTCCCACAAGGCTCGCGCCCTCACATCTTCGCATCCAGCGGCGGCAATGCAGGGCTCGCTGCTGTTCACTCGGCTCGTGCTCTCAACTTGCCTTGCACTGTTGTCGTACCAACCTCCACAGCACCATTGATGGTAGCCAAGCTACGAGCAGCAGGTGCATATGAAGTCATCCAGTATGGTGCAGCTTGGAAAGATGCAGATGCATACCTTAAGGAGCACATCATACCCTACGTACGGAACCCTCTATATCCCAGACAAGGCGAGAGGCTGACACAATCTGCAGGCACAGACAGAAACCATCTACTGCCCACCCTTTGACCACCCAGATATCTGGCAAGGAAACAGTACCTGCATGGACGAGATCGCCGCTCAGCTTGGCGAGCCCGACGTATTGATCTGCTCTGTCGGCGGCGGTGGTTTGATCAACGGTATCTGTCAATCCATGGACAACCATCAAATGAGCAAGACAACTATTCTCGCCTTGGAGACCGCTGGTGCCGAGAGCTTGAATGCAGCACTTCAAGCCAAGGAACTTATCACATTGCCCAAGATCACATCCCAAGCAACAAGTCTAGGCATTGCCCGTGTGACAGACGCCACATACAAATATGCCCAGCGAGGCAACGTCCGAAGCGTAGTCCTACCTGACGCAGAAGCGGCTATGGGCTGCTGGCGTCTGGCAGACGACGAACGTATCATGGTCGAGCTCGCCTGCGGCATCAATGTTGCTCTTTGCTACGACGGCCGGCTCGAGAAAGCACTTGGTCGCCCCGTTCGACCAGAAGACAAAGTTGTGATTGTGCTTTGCGGAGGAAGCAATGTCACGAGTAAGATGTTGTGCGACTGGAGGAACGAGTACGCGTACATCGAGGAAGAGACTGAAGCAAGGAGGAGGACGAGCGATTCTGCGCTTGGCAGTGAGACTCAGAGTGAGACTGGCAGTGTGAAGGATATGGATATGGGAAATGTACCCAGTGAGTACAGCAAGCCTATCGTGATCGAGGGCATTGAGGTTGAGTGTGTGGAGTGCTCCGGCTAGGAGTTACGTCCTCTCGTTTCTCTTCTCTTCTTACGAATTTCCTTTATAGATCACGTTATATATGTAAGCGCTTTCATGACGGCGTATAATGACAAAACCTTTCTGTTTTATTCTACCTGTCTTCAATCGTCACATTTTAGCTCAAGAGTTGTCCAAATGGGTGACGCATCCCCTCGTGACTTATGCGTGCCGTCCTTGCCGTTTAAGCATCCCTCCGGAAATTTCCCCACTATTCCGATGTACACCTAACGTCAGTCTGCAAGACCAAAGGCAAAATTGCTGAAACCTCATAGACCGCGGTCTGCCACTATCAAAATTAATCTACTCTGCTCTTTTCTTCAAGAAGCGACATACCCCTAGTAGATAAGTTCAGGGAGATGAACATTTAGAACAATGACTTCTCGTACGTGGGCCTTCAAAGATGCCTCAATGGAATGCTAGGAAGATATCTAACAAACAGCAAGACTTTAGTTCCACAAAGGAAGGCGGCAGAAACACGTATCCCCTCCCAGACAGCCTCAATTACGATGACGTTCTCGAGATTCTGCACAATCATTCTGTGTTATCCCAAATATTCTGGCCACATTCATCCGCCAGAGTCCGTATACAGCCAGGTTCTGTGTCAAGCATCTCGAACTTCCTGATCGAACAAGATCAGTCGGAGTTTAAAGCATCCTTGTGTAGCCAGCGGAATGGGGTAACGTGCACCGAAGAATTACCGCTAGGGCTCAAGGTAACAATAAAGTATGTGATAGCTGAGTGCGATCAAATCGCAGGACAGCAGAGCGTGCATGATGAAAAGGGTGGGGCTGTGTCAACGTCAGATCTGCTCAAGTCGCCCATCACTCCGCTGGATCATCAACTCTATCTGGTTGAGCAGAGATTCGCAACTGCTTTCAAGCTGCTTACCCCCTGGATACAAATTAAGCAGGGCACTATTCCCAAGACGGAGAATCTCATGGAGGTGCTGAAGAATTTGGGTGAATCTCAGAAAGATCTCATTTCTGCATTATCGGACTTGAACGGCATTGCAACATATGTGGCTCCACATACCTCGTATGAGAAGGCTAATGATGGATAGGAAGTGAGTATCCCAATTTGTGGCAGTACTAAAGCTTACAGAGTGTGGCAGGCTTGGATGTCGAACAGGAGATGGTTGTTAGGTAGCAAAGCTGGGCTCGAATTCTTCGTTACCGCTGCTGACGTGAAAGACCTTAGCGAACTTTGTGAAATGCATGTCAATGTCACTTATAAAGCCAAAGGCAACCGTTTACATAATCGAACAAGAGTAGACTAACAAGCCAACAACGGCTGTGTATGCTTTGTTCTATTGTCTCGTACGCCCTAAACAAGAACTTTGTAAGCGGTAGCATTGTTCTATCCCCTAACGCTTTGTCTCACATGCACGTAACGTTCGACTCGACCTTGACTCTTAACTTGGTTCAAAATCTTCTATGCTATTGAGGTTTATCTGGGTTGACTCTCTCGTCGTCCATTCAGTCCCAGTCACTAATCTCACGTACCTGCTTCTCACCTCATTACCAATTGCTCTAGCATCGAACAAAAAGGCGAGTCTATCCACGAGTTACCGAAAGCAGGAGCATACCTGATAGGACGATTCATTTTGCCATGGCTAACCCCCGGACAGTCATTAATCCCTTTACCAAGAATGAACACCGCATGAGGCATAACACTAAAAGCACTAAATAGATCACAGCTGGCCCTTCAACAACAGCTACAAGAAACATTGATGTTGAAAATCAAACCTCGAAACGCATTTTTCGAGAAATTATCTCGCCGAGCAGCGTCGAAGATACTTCTATTAGGCGGCACGAGCCGCTGTCGATAATAAATGATTTCAAAACAACGCCACTAGAGTCTACTGCAGTTCGTACTAATGTCTCAAATCGGGACACTCCGCTATCAACACTCAAACTCATTGACTTCTCGATGCTCGAGCGAACTATGAAGGAACCGGAAGTGAATTTATCTCCTCATTGCCCAGCTTCAATAGACGACCATAACTCAAGCACCAACAGTTCATGGCAGAAGCAGGATTTACACCAGTCGTATGTTGCGGGTTCGGCTACATGCTCGAAGCACGTACACGCTCAGCCGCAAGCTACCGAACATTCAACGCCGTTGTTCCGCGCCGCTAAGGAGATCTACCAAGCAGGTCCTAAGGGCGAGGGGCAGAAAGTGTGGGAAGCGTATCAGCAGGCACGTAATCATAGACGAGCTAACGATGAACCATCTCAGAACATGTCATCTGAACCAACGACTAGGAAAATAAATACAGCATGCCTACCTCTTCCATCATCAACAAGCCCCAATGAAGCACTCTTCCCACCACTACGACCACGGACACTACAAAATCAAAGCGGACGCAAAGAAAAGGAATCTGGGAGTCCGGATCTGAGAAGAGACTTCGGCTTCTCCAGCTCGAGCTATGACGTGCCTGTAGCTATTCATAAGCATGTACAACGCATTGTCGATTTGAACAAACCTCTTCCTTCTGTTCCACAGATACAAGCGCCTCCAAAGGTACGAAATCCCAAGGACAGAACATCACGAGATGCTCAACAGTGCACTGAGAAAGAGACGGCTCATACGTGGTGGAAGCATTCGCCTTCTAAGGCACCTCAAACCTTGAAGTCCAAGATCTCTCATCCTGGTCCACTAATGATATCGGGCGAAGGTATCGCAGTCAATGTCGCTGCAGAGTGCGGTGGAGTTGGCGGACCTGCAGCTGCCGTGTCACTTCCCGTTACGCGCACCGGCGCTCCGTTACCTCGACCGCCTAGCATCCATGAGAGGAAGAAAGAGGACAGGCGGCCTTCGCCACGAGCTTTTCACTTCCCGACAATTCACCTTAGCCCCTCGAAGAGAATTGGCAAGGGTAGTGAGAAAGAAAAGGTAGACGAAAGGGATGATTCTTACACAATACATTGGCGCGAGAGACTTGTAGGTCCTGCGTACGAAGCTGGTAAGTCCTTCAAGCAAACGGCTATGGAGACTCTAGACGGTGTACATGTAGGGAAGAAGAGGAAAACTTCGGATATCAGCTTCGCGTGCCAAGGAGTAGCGAACGAACAGCTGGACAGGTATCAAGTCAGCGAACAGTCATCGAGCGATGAGGAGGATGTGTTGGTTCCTGATCCGCTTTTTTACGCTAAAAATGCCGGAATGGACAGGAAGTTCAGTTAGTTCCATGCTGAAGCTGTAGATATGAAGGTCCTCTTGGCATCCGAGCCTATCTGTAGAGTGCGAGAATGAACCCACTGCGTCATTCTTGTCCTCGTCCTTTAGTCAGTTCGTTGTAAAAATTCCAAGCAAGCATCATCGTGCCCTTGTATTTATTACCTACCCTCAATGGGGTTCGTCGTTTGACTAAAATTGCATCTTCTTGTCTGATGTCGAATTTCTACTTTTATCACGTCTCCTTCTTCCGAGATCCATGTTGTATCGCCCTATGTAGTCTCCGTCACATATGGCTATTAATACCACTGTTCCTGGAAGGGCAGCGAGAGGAAAGGCAGAATCGGCCAAAGTGTCGTACGACCACACAAGTTTTCGGCCCCAGTGACGACAAATACATCAGAAAGCAGTGTGTCTTCCTGCACGAACAATATCAAAGCGACAAGGAAGAGGACGCACTCGAATGAGGTATTCCCAGCGAAAAGGAAGCGAGACTAAAAGAAGGTAAAATTGTTTCGAAACCGGTTGCACGGCCGTTTAGGCCCCGGCTGATCACCTTGCATCCGGTGGGGAACGGATGGTCCCAGTGTAGTGAGATTATCGGCATGGGAATGAGGATATGCATGAAATAGGATATTATTAGGTTGATGAAGATGGGAGGTTGGTAAGACCTAGCTGCTAGCACGGCAAGTGGGAGTGGCAAAAGCGAGTGCAGGCGGCACGATGAAGCGAAGGGAGATGGGAATATTCTTGGGCTGTAGAGTGCAGAGATTTGGCTCAGACTTGTACTCCCTGACATTCGTGGAAGGGCGTTGTTATTTCGACTATGAGGTAGAGTGAGCTGAGACCGATAACTGCTTGCACACTGTGGGCGTCTGCACGGTGGGACGGCCCTGGGGCGTAGTCGGTGCGGCGGAATGGGCGCAGCCCGTGGTAGCTTCTCTTCGCTGGAAGGATACACTCACGCGACGATGCCACCCACCGAGATCAACGTGGCCTCATGAATTATTCGGATGCGCCAGCGGAAGGACAATAGTTCCCTGTTGGCAGCGTGCAGCATCGTTGCCATGGTCTCATACTACCCCACGATGCAGCCGTGGACCAAAATAACCGTGCAGCAAGAAACGAAACGAAACAAAACTACCTCAAGACAGTTAGAGGGCCGAGGGAATGCAGGTAAATGTCTGGATGGGGTGCTAGCGAGGCGATCCGAGAAGACTTGGCATAGGTTGTGCCTGGTCGTGCAGGCTCTAGCTGGGTGACGGCTCTGATAGGCGCAGAAGACCCTGGATACATAATGCAGCAGCGCTCACATCACCACGTACCGGCATTGACAGTTGCTTACAGCCAAGGCGTCTTGAGATTGATCCAGACAGGCTGCTGATGAAGTGGCAGCGGACACGCGGATGGCTTTATGTCGTTGCAGCTGGCGTCACCAAGTTGGACCGAGTGTGCGACAGCGTCTGGTCTTTTGCGGTGCTGGAGAGACTCGAAGTCGGCTTTGGACTCGACGGTGGTGTGGGCCGCTATCAAAGCGGGGCGGCGCCTTCCCTCTCGTCTTGGGAGCTCCTTCCCGCCACCATTGGTCGTCAGATAATCCTGCGCGCTTCCCGCAAGCTTAATCTGCCCTAGCGCACACTCTGTTTAATGCACCGTCCCTGCACTCTTCAACCACTCACCGGCGACAATCACCATGTCGCGTTTTGCAGGCGTCAAACGTCTTGCACTTATTGGGTGTCAGCAAATCTATGCCCTGCCGACCGCGACGCCAACTCGCTGGGCAGACTTCGCTCCCGAGGGCACGAGGCGTGATAGCATGGTCCCGTCTCTCGTTTTTCCTATACCTCTGAGGGTCCTCGCAACGGCTCGAGGCGCAAGAGAAGACACGCACAACTGACCCATCTGACAGCCGTGGGAGATAAAACAGCCATCGCCACGCTGACAGACAGCATAAGCACCTTGTCAGAATTGCCCATAAACCAGCTTCTTCCCGCTGCAGTGTTCAGGCCTGGATGCGCATCGTTTGTAAATCGTTTATTGACTTCACCCGGGCGTCTATTTCTGGGCCACCACTCCCCTCTCTCCTCTGCGCGCCATTGGCATCCAGCTCGTCTCCCAAGACAGCCTATCAGACGGCCACCTGCAGTACTCCCAGCAGCCTTCTTCTAGGCGCCATACATTTAGAACGTTGTAAGTACCCGCCCGCTTTCCCATCGCAAGCTTCTCCACCTGCTACCATCCGTGCTCCCCACTATCCAATCCTCGACCGTTCCCTCTTCCAAGCGCTCCGAGTCTATAAGCCCAGCGCTTCGCCCATTGCCAGACCTTTTCTTTTCTCCAGCAGGTCTCTTATTGTAATACGTCGTGCGTCTTTTATCAAGTGTCTCTCTTAACCTCTTGCGACTGGTCTAAGCTGGGCTGGATTCTAGTCGTTGTCGTTTTGTTGCACATTCCTACCTGTCTCTCCTCCGTCTCCACTACATGAAAGCCTCCAACTTCCTCGAGTGAACCTTGGAAAGTTTTAGAATGGCCGCCAACGATAAGAAGATTACCCAGATTACGATTGAAAGACGAAGCTCCAAAGACTCTCTCGACGTCAGGACACCACGCACAGCACGCTTCGCCGAAGCAACATCAGTCCACTCGCCGGTTGATCCTCCTCGGTCACCTTTCGAGTACCCAACCAACCACTACAAGCCACAACCTCAGATCGCAGATACAGGCTTCGGCTACATGCAATCCGTCGAGATGGAAGAGACCGATCGGAGGTACCTTCCTCCACCAACGCCAAAGACTCCCCTCAAGAGCGCGTTGAAGTCGCCTGGCGCTCCTCCACGGACACCAGGTGGTGCAATGTCAATCATGAGCCCTACCTTTCGGGAAGAGCATCAGCTCGAGAAGCGGGAGGCATTGACGGACAGGGAGCAAGCAAAGGACTTGGTACGTCTGTGGTCAATATTGAGTTCAGTACAGTTGCTAACAATACCTTAGAAAATCAAAGTTCGTGTTCGACTAGCAAAGATCTTCCTGCGAGGCATCAACTTTGCTTGCTCGCTCATTGTTCTTGCCATGGTTGCAAGTGCTTTCGCTATCTTCAACGCCACAAAGACTCTCGCGCCAAGGAACGGCCTACCACCATGGGCCGACAACACCAAAGTCTGGCCTCAAATCCTCTTGCTCTCCATCGCCTGTGTTTCTCTGGTTATGTCCATCTTCGTCATCACCGCCTACTGGAGAGGAGGTCATCATCGGGCTGAAAAGGTTGCCGCATACTACACTGTCTTTGCTGTTGGGTTTTTCATCTTCAGTATCGTCATGTGGGGTGTTGGTGCAGCCGCATTCAACCAAAGTAAAGCGCAGAACAACAACAAGGATATGTGGGGTTGGTCTTGCGTTGACAACAAGCGACGACACCTTTTCGAAGACGACATTGCCTATGGCCTTGTCTGCCGTCTCCAGGTAAGCACAATACCTTTGTTACGATAAAGGAAGCCAGATACTAACAATCTACTAGAACTGGGCGCTTGTCTGCTGCATCATCGAAGTCGTAATCGAGGTTCTTGTTATTGCCATCTACGGAATCGTCTTCTACCGCTTCTGGTCCAAGCGCAAGCTTCGCAAGTCCATGGCCATGCGCGACCGTGCCCGATCTGATCTCTACCTTGCCCAGCTCCGCTCGCAATCTGCACCCAACACCCCTGGTTTTGGTCCCATGTCTCCTCGCTCAGGCGGTTGGCGCCCACCTCCAGGCCATCCAATGTACGTTGACCCGCACTCTGCAGCGGAAGCTGGCGAGAGCGACAATGTGCAGTACGCATACGCGCGCGAGATTGCCCAACCCCAGCCATTCACCCTCCAGGCGCCGCCTATCAAGGTCACTGGTGCGACACCAAGAATGGAGCAAGACGGCTTCGATTCTGCACCAGTACGGACTGGCACCGTATCGCCACCACTACCATCCCCAGGATTCCAAGAAAGGAGGAACGATCACGTTGATGCCGCACCAGGTGAACAGCAGTATGCTGCTGTTCCCATCCCCGGTGCTTACACACCGCTAGCATCACCCTCATACCCACCACCACAGCAACAGCAGCCCACTGGCTTTGACTTTGGGTCTTCAGTAACCGGTCAGCGATAAGCTTTTGAGCTTGCTGTTCGCGCGTGTGTATGTTGATTTGTTGATTTAGCGCGCATCGTACCCTTTCTCTTCTCAATCAATCTGGAATCTGGTTGCATGGATTTTGCGAAACGATATCAGGAAATGTACATTCTTCCACCTTTTCAAGCGAGGCTTCGGCCTGGGCTTATTTTTTCCTTTGTCTTACTGTCTATCGCTAATCTGGTCGGTGTTCTTGGGCTGGGATTTTAAGATACCTTTGAAGTAAAATGCCTCTTCACTACGCCTCTCGTTGTATGACATGGGGGTTGTGGAATTACTACAACAGAACAGAGTAGAATAAGATTTATCGCGATCTCTGAGAATGCTAGATGCAATATCAAGATCTTGCCTTTCCTACAAGATTGTTCTTTTTGTGCACATGTCGTGATTGATGCTACTATTATCTTCAATACATAATGTAACACAGACTTCGACATCATTTCCTTTTGCGTCACGCGTCTATCAAACCATTGCATTACTCCCACCATCTTCCGATCCCTCTCAAATTAACGCAAACCCACGCCTCACAATTAATGTCAAGCACTACGCCACGCACACAGCCTGAGCGTCACGCCAAACTACTCCGCTGTGATCCAAGGCCGCAGAACAGGCCTACAGGGTTTGCAACCGCCCAGCTCTCTTTAACGCTCGGGATGCCTGTGGCACAGCGCATGAACATGCGATTACGCAATGGCGTGGCTGAGCACCGAGTGGACTTGAGGATATATGTTCAACGACGATATATTTATCATGTATTTACCATGACTACATGACTAGTTTTAGGTGGATCATTTTGTGTAAAGAGATAGTGCTAGGACGAACATCGTCACGATCAGAAGACGTCTATCCATTGAGCATGCAAGCATAAAGTGACAAGATACTCATGAATCGTTGTCATATGTGGAGGGCCTAGCCTTCGTAGAGGTGTCGCTTGCGAATCTAGACGGAATTTCATCGTGACCTAAATCTCGTAATGCACAGCCATCACACTCGTCCAGCACAGACATGTAGATCAAGTGTTGATGGCATTGAGGTATCTGGGTGTACTAGTCGGACCCTGTCATGTCAGTACAACACAAACAGACACATCACATGCGACAACAAAGAGCATGAGGATGATCACACAATGGTTATGCGGAACATTCACCCAAGTGAAGCCTCCATTGCTTTTGTGATCGTAGACCCGCTCGTTAGAGACAAGGTCGCTCCATTGATAGGCCGCAAGTTCAATGCTTGCTCTTTTGTAAGATACATTCCAGGACTCCGTAGGACCGAACCCCCCGAGACCGAAAATGCTGGTGATCGTGCAAAATCTTCACTTCGTTCCTTTCCCCCCAAATCGACGATACGTTTATCGGACGATACCCTCGAATCGGTTCTTGTACCACTTGATGGTCTCCTGTTGGTTGACCTTGTGGGAAGCGCCGATCTTGCTCTGGCACCTCCTGCGCTTGGCAACACGCTCACCAGGGCGGGTCATGCAGACGTAGAAGTCCATACCGTAGATACTGCTCCAGTCAGCCAATGTTTCCCTCTCTCACTCAGGATCCAGATTCCACATACCCAATGCTGGGGTCGTACTTGATACCCAAGTCGATGTGCTCGCTGATACCGAAACCGAAGTTGCCGGACTCTGAGAAGTTGCGCTTGCGGAGCTCGTACTCCTTGACCTTGAGACCACGCTCGAGGATCTCCTCGGCCTTGGGGCCACGGACGGTGACGTGGACGGCGATCTTTTCGTTCCTTCGGATACCGAAAGTACGGACGGTGTAGCGGGCCTTGGAGTAGACGGGAGTTTGACCGGACAGCTGCTCGAGCACCTTGGCGGCACGAGTGAGACGATCACCAGACTCGCCGACGGAGATGTTGAGGACGAGCTTCTGGATGCGGAGCTCCCGCATGGGGTTGGAGGCCTTGGAGTCGGACTGTCATGGCTGTTAGTTTGCGCAGAGCAATTGGCGATGGTGGTGCGGTGCGTACCATGGTGATGACTGCGGAGGTTAGTAGTCGTTGGGTGGGTTGTCGTGTCGCTGGTGTTGAAGTCGCGGTAAAATGATTTTGGCCCCTGGGAGCGGATGTGTGCGAAGCGAGCCAAGCCCGCCGTGCACGTGCCAGGCCGCGATGCGGTAGCTACGAACTCTTTGATCGCGAACAAACAGCTCTATACGCCCCGCCCATTGCCAACGTCGAGGGGACAATCTCTCCATACTCTTACCCACCCGTCTTCTGAGCTTCAAGTCGTCCTCGGACGCGCACTACCAATCATGTCTGGCGCCGCAAACCGACAGGGAAAGATGGTAAGTAAATCTGCCTAGCAGCTCGAGTCCTTGGCCTGAGAGAAGACGCGCATAGAAACTGACTGACGCCTGGTGATATAGCAAAATCTAGTAAGCGCTCCAGATTCCGCTCATAGTCGCATGCAACTCACAGAACCAGATCAACTACCGCATGAAAGTTACTCTGCAGGATGGCAGACAGATGGTCGGGCAGATGCTCGCATTCGACAAGGTCAGCGTCGCCCGCCGTTTCCCCCTCTACTCTGCTGACCAGCTCTGCAGCACATGAACCTCGTTCTCGCCGACACAGAAGAGTTCCGACGCACACGAAGAAGGGGCAAGGCCGCCCCCGGCGCAACCCAGCAAGTCACCGAGACTGAAGAGCGACGCGCAATTGGACTTACCATCATTCGTGGCGCGCATGTAATCTCGTTATCTGTCGACGGACCACCGCCTGCAGACCCTGCCGCGCGACTTGGCGCGAGCGCTGGAGGACCATCTACTGCTGCCGCGCTGGCTGCAGGACCCGGTGTTGCTCGTCCTGCCGGACGTGGTCTCCCAGTCGGTCTTACTGGGCCAGCTCCTGGTGTTGGAGGCCCCGGCCCTGGCTTCGGAGGCGGTTTCCCAGGCGCACCTGGAGGCTTCGGAGGCCCGCCTGGCTTCCCTGGTCGTGGCGGCCCTCCAGGTGGACCACGTACGTTCCCCTTGAGCATATCTTGAGAACATCTGCTAACCATCTATAGCTGGATTCCCTCCCGCTGGTGGACCTCCCGGATTCGGAGCACCACCAGGCTTCGGTGGACCGCCCGGCTTCCCTGGTCGTGGTGGACCTCCTGGTTTCGGTGGCAGATAAAAGGACAATGAACGATCATAATGAAATATCGCTAGAAAGATTTGGCATTGGACCATCGAACACGGCGCGTGCCCATACCACACATCTCAGGAGATACCTTGGAAGAGGACCAAACTCACGTCCAACACGTCGCAAGGGGCTGCGTGTCCCTAAATTGCGTTACAATCAGCGATTGTGAGGAGCACCGGCAGAGCGAGATACCAAGTTCAAAAGTGTACTGAGATTTGGTTGAGGGACAGGAAATATACCACTGGCTTAAATGCATTCACAAGAAACAGTCGCATCATTTCACCATAAGATATGACTGTAGCTCCAATTATCCAAGTCCAAACGCACCCATGTATTGAGTGTCTGTCATAGTGAGATGAACGAGTCCCTAGCTTCATACCCTATCTTATGCAACACTAGAGAGGTAGCGTGTAATTCGCCGACCGTACAAAAGTGACCCATGTGTAATCGTTGCAGTCACTTGTTCTATTTCCTCGTATTTCCGGCAGCATCAAGGTGCACGTGAAGTCCTTCCCGTTGTCGGAAGCTCTTTGCGGTTCCCGGTCCCTGTTCGTTCGGCCCCAATTATTGCTTGGCATCTAAACCGTCCGTCGTGCGTCCGCAACTCGCAAACTGCGACCGACTGACCCACGAACTTCACGTCAATCCGCACGCAACTCGGTTCCTCGGTACCTCCCGGTAAATCAGTCAAGATGGCCGCCGCGATCAAAGCCCTCAATGCGAAGATTCGCTCCAACCCGTACACGGATTACTTTTGCTCGACTCGTATGTACACCCGTCTCGTTGTGAGGGCACCGCGCATTGGAAGAGCTTGGGAAAGGGTGCGCAGAGGATGACATCTGGAAGATACAATGAAGGAGCTGCAGAGGGAAAGAGTAGTTGGCTGACGTAAAGGTAGATTTCTGGGGCCCGGCGAGTAACTTTGGTATCCCGATTGCGGCTATTGCGGACATGAGCAAAGATCCTGAGATGTACGTTCTACACCTCTCAATTCCCTTCTTCACCTTTTTCCAAATCTTTCAACCTACAAGCCATGTGTCCAGCCCTATCCTGCGGCTCCCACATTCACCCTTCCCTACCCAGACTCTCCGCTCCCACAAACTCCAGCTAACCCCTCCTCACAGCATCTCCGGCCGTATGACCGGCGCCCTTACCCTGTACTCCGGCACATTCATGCGCTACGCCATGGCCGTAACACCAGCAAACTACCTGCTCTTCGGCTGCCACGCCATCAACTTCAGCTCGCAACTCGTTCAAGGGTACCGATACCTCAACTACTGGAACTTCGGCGGCCGGGAAGCTAGCCTGGCGGGCAAGGCGGATAAGGCCAAGGATGAGGCAATGGGTATGGTGGGAAAGGCGGAGCAGAAGCTCGAGAAGGTCGCCGAGAATGTCAAGGGCGTCATTCCGAAATAAATGGGATAAAGCAGAAGTGCATGTCGGAGCAGAAGACGCCTATTGTCCATATACCAATTGACGAGCTCGTGGGTATTTCAAATGCTATCTACTTGACTCACAAACTTATTATGACACATTTATCGATACCTTGAATAAAATGTTTACACACGTAAATTACATGAGACTGCTCCTCCCCCCAATCTCATTCCCTCCCTGTCCATTCGGCAAATCACCGTCCCTCCCATCAACAAACTCCCTGTATATCCTCTCAAGACGCATTCGCTCTTGCGCCGATATACTGCTCCGTCCACTAGAGAGGGAAGACTCTATATGTTTCCACTGGATCTCTGGATCCTTTCTCTCATCCCCCTCCTCTTCTTCTTTAGTCGCTCTATCTTCATCTTCCTTCTGTGGTGAACCATCGGAACGCTGAAGTTGTTTCTGTTTCTTGCGCAGAGCCTGCAGCGCAGATATCTTCTGAGCAATCATAGCACGTTCGGTGAGCTGAGCAGATGTAGCCAAGGCGGAGTTGGAGTTGGAAGATGTAGGATCGTCGCCATAGCGGAAGTAAGAAAAGTCAGGAATACCCTTGCCATTTGCCGTACCGCTGCTTCCATCTTTCTTGTTGTGGTCGATTTTCGAGGGATCTACGTCGCCGAGTACATCGTGAATCGCTTCCAGTTGCGCATTGTATACAACCGCCTGGAGATCGGCACCGGAATAGCCTTCTGTTCTCATTGCTATTTCGCGCAGATTCTCGCCTTCGTGGCCGTCGCCTAGGAGACTGGGCGCGAGGTGCAGTTTACGTGTTACTGCACGCAGGATGTCGATCCGTTCTTCTGCGTCCGGCATGTCGCACAAGAGGGATTTGTCGAGACGACCCGGGCGAAGGAGCGCGGGATCAATCAAGTCAGGCCGCGACGTAGCAGCCAAGACGTAGACACCCGAGAGTCCTTCCGCTCCGTCCATTTGGGTGAGAAGCTGGTTCACAACACGGTCCGTTACACCTGTTGAGTCGTGTCCACGCTTCGGTGCGATACTGTCGAACTCATCAAAGAAGAGAACACAGGGTCGCGCTGCTTCTGCACGTTCAAAAAGATCGCGTACAGACTTCTCGGAAGCACCAATGTACTTGTTGAGAATTTCTGGCCCTTTGACCGAGATGAAGTTTAGACCGCACTCACCTGCTACTGCAGATGCGAGGAGAGTCTTGCCACATCCGGGGTAGCCATATAGGAGTAAACCTGATCGAAGACGTAGTGGGCATTTTGCGAAAATGGGCGCGTAGGTTGTAGGATATTGAAGAGTTTCCATGAGAACCTGTCTTGTTGTGTGCAGACCACCGATGGAATCCCATTTTGTGGTCGAAGATTGTAATGTGACGTTTCGCAAGGAGGCGGGCGTGAAGCCGGTAATAGCTTGACTGTAATCCTCTCGTGTGAGGGACACAGTAGGGGACGTAGACGTGACTGAACGAATCAATGCTTCGTTGCGGGCGCGCGATGTGAGTAACACAAGATCGCCGGGCATGTATCCGTCTGTCTGGCCGGCGAGATCGAGAAAGTCGATCGTGGGATCGATGGTGAAAGCGTAATCGTCAGAGGGTTGCTGTGGTATGCTGTCAATGCTAGGTTGACTGCGGTGAGCGGTACTGGGTCGGCTGTCTGATGGTGATGGCGGAAAAGCATGACCATTTGGTTCCTGGGATTGCTCCACTTTAGCATCCTTGAAGGCGAGCATCTCAAGGACCTTCCTTCTACCGTCTTTATTGGGTGCTTTGAGACTGACAATCTCGCGGACGATATGTCCACCAACGATGACATTGTTCAGGGACTCTTTACCTTGCGCAGTTGCTAGCAGCACTACACCAGAGTCCATGGAACAGTACTGTCTGACGATATTTATCAGACACTCGCTGACATGTCGACTTCGTCCGTTGTCGTTGCCAACTTGAAGCTCAGTCTCTACAGGACATAGCTTGTCCAGGTCATCCAGAATGACCACAGCATTTCCACCCCCTCTTGCGCCCCATGATGCTGAAGCAAACAGTCTGTTCAAAGTCTCTTTGATAGTTGCAACTCGTGTCTCATCCGTTACAAGTTTGCGACAGGGGAAATATATGGTGTTGAAAAGATATTCAGTCCGAAGTTGGTGGGCAAGTAGCTGGGCACATTCCGACTTTCCTGCTCCCAAACCACCAGTGAGTAGAACGGAAGAATTGTGCGTTAGATGTGATCGAAGTTGCTGGATAAGAGGATCTATGCCAACCAGATTTGCGGGCGTCTGTGGAAGCGGATCACCTTGCTGCCAGCCTTTAGCCCAGCTTGTTGGCATTGACACTTCCTGACCAATCTCAAGCGGTGGTTTCCTTTCAGGGAAAAGCACCCATGAGACTCCAGTTGTCGGTGCTAGTGGTTCAAACCTTACAATGCCTCCTTGCCAGCTGAGCTCGGAGTCCTTAGGCGCAGGCAGTATCATCCCATCCGTGACTGGCCCGTCAAGGAGTCCATTCTTCTTCCCGTATATTGTTTTGATCTTTTCTATCGCTTTCTCTTGATCTTGCTTAGACTCGCCACCAAACTTTAACGAGGCATTGACTTGAGATGCAACAGTGGAGAAGGGGATGATCTTGATGGACTTGACAATGGGTTCTCTGGACTCCTTCGTTGGCTTGATCGCTGGCGGTTTGGGAGTTTGAGCCGGAGCGCCTTCGAGTCGGACGAGACCGCCGACAAAGTTCTCGAAACCCAGGACCTTGCAGAGGTCGGTTGAAAGGGCTACATGCCGACTGTCTGGCGCGTCTTCCCATGCCATGATCTTAGCAACGACGCGTGTCGCAGGCTTCTCCTGCTCCTGCTCCTTGGACATGTCGACTGGCTCTTGTAGTCCTGCAGGCTTGATGATTGATACAGAGACCCAGTTGGCGCCTCTGAGAGCCTTGGTGAGTAGTACATCCTTGTCCACCCACACTCTCAGCCCTCCAGCGTCTATGTCTTCTTCTTCATTGAACCACTCTTGTGCCACACTGCGGTCGAGTCCGCGCAAGAAGATGACCCCCTTGCTTGCAGTGTCCTCGCGGCCACTGCGCCGGCGGACTGTGCTCGCAGTGCTCTTTCCGCTCTTTCTCGAGGCAGCGCCCACGCTCCTGCTTTCCCGGGTTGAGCTCCTCTCCTTTTGTCTTGTCTTAGGCGCGACAATGACCTCGGCGTCAGGCGAGATCTTGACGAAGAGGGATGTGTTGGCCGGTGCAGGAGCGATGGAAGTGACGGTTATGTTTGCGGTCGTTGTAGGGGATAGATGCAGCGTAAGAGGATGGGGCGCTCCAGCCTGGGGGTTCGGGAGTGCGCGTATCTGAGAGAGGAAGTTCAATTCCAAGAATTGGGCATGCAGCTCGATCATCTCCCAGTCCACGGGGGTCAAGGGCTCGATGTTGATGGTATGCGCCTGTGGAGGATCCACGTGTAGTATTATTCCTACCTTCTGCCCCTCTTGCAGGCCGATCAGTCTGGCGAAGGTGGCATCCACCTCGACAGCTGGCAGGTCTTGTTGGCTGACTGCTGGACTGCCTCTCAGGCCGTCTCGCCCGACTACAGGCGCAATCCTGCGCTTGCTCTGCATGCCCGTCCATCCCACGAAAACCGACTTGGGCGCGGCATTCCTATTGTCCGAAGCACCCGGTGGTGGAGGTTGGCGGTATGTGAGCTCGACGACAACATTCTGGGCGACCGTGTTCGCATTCACGAGTACGGAGACGAGCGAGGACGGGAGGTTGACAAGGCAATTCTTGAGCGACTGTTGCAGGGCAACCTCAGCTTGGACAACGTTGCCGGCAGGCTTCTTGGGCGGCATGATGGCGAGAGTCGAGGAGTGAAGGAAGTTGGTACTGCTGCAGCTGCAATCGCATGGCGCATACCTCAAGCTCCCGATGCTCGCATGCGGACCGAGGTTGGGGTGTTCGTCGGCGCCGATGGCCTAAAGCGGTGGCAGAAAGCGGCGGTCCAATCGCTCGACTGCCCTGGAAACGCGGGTAGACGCGACTGGAGCTGCAACGCGACCAGCCCCAATTTTGCTACCGCGCATCCCTCCCCGCTGCATCACTGCACCACGCCCAGACACGTACTTTCACCACCAACCCCAGACAGAATGGCGCTCCTTACAACGAGTGCGCCCGTCAACTATGACGAGCAGGAGGGTAAGCGGGCACGGGCAGGACACCGACAACCCCCAGCTAACAGCCAACAGCTGCCTTTGTTGACTTTCTCAAAAACTACAAATCCGCCTCGACCGATGCTGCGGACCAGCTCGAGGGCCTGAACATCAATGGCCATGGCGAGGAGGAATACGATATGGTGGACGACTCGGACGATCCCGCGCCAAACGGAAATGGGGCGCAATCCCGCAGCAAGTCGAAGCTCAAGTACATGGACCAACTGCAAGACGTAGCGAATCGCGTGCGCGACGAGATCCAAATAGACCTCAACGACGTCGAAGCATACGAGAAGGCGACATCAGACGACGAGCACAACTACAGGCTGGTCGAGTCCATCGAGCGCAATGCCCACCACTACATCGAGATCTTCTCGCGAGCCGTCGACAAGTGCCTGCCTCAACCGACTAGGGAACTCGACTTTAAAGACGATGTCTTGGACGTGATTATGACGCAGCGCTCCAAGCGCAACGAAAGACAGCAGGAGATGCAGGGAGTCGACGACAATTCACAGGCTGCGCCAGAAACCATGTTTCCTCCTGCATTGACCAGGCGATACACCCTCAACTTCAGGCCCAGGATACCGTCTGGTTCCAGCAGCCAGCGCAGCACAAAGGCGCTAGCGGTCCGCAATGTTCGCGGAGAGCACCTGGGTCACCTCATCACAGTTCGCGGTATTGCAACCAGGGTGTCGGACGTCAAGCCTGCCGTACAGGTCAATGCCTACTCCTGCGACCGCTGTGGAAGCGAGGTTTTCCAGCCCGTGACGACCAAGCAATTCACCCCTCTCGTTGAGTGCCCGTCCGACGAT